CGCACGCACAGACGCACGCACAGACGCACGCACAGACGCACGCACACACGCACGCACGGACACACGGAGGTAAAAACATAAGTCCCCGTTTTCGGACTGCGTCCGAACGGGGACTAATAATGAACGCACTTTGAGTCCAGTGATTTTTCGGCCTTCGTATGACGTAGTGACTGTAAATTGCGAAGCGAGACTTGGATATGTAGTTACGATGGTGTCCATCCACGTATTTATCTGTAGGTACAAGATATAGATGCGTAAGACACACTTGTGGGTAAATCTATAGAAATAATTCCAACGCTGTATGGAGCGCGACAGCAACATTAGAACAGCAATCATTAGAATTTGACAACCGAATTTGCTATACGTTTGTAGAGCATTTGCCGAATATTAGTGGGTTGTCGATTGCATCGTCTGATTGTTGATGCGTCGTGGACACAGACTACAGAACATAACTTTATTGCACGTGTAATGAGTAGCGGATAGAATTAAAAAAGAACGCCTCTCAGCCATTACAAATCGCGTAAATTATAAATATTGTGCTGCATTTTGTATTAAGCCTGTAGCACCATATATGCATTTTGTCGTGGTTTTAATTAGTATTCACTTTTAAACAGACAATGTTATTATAAATTATAAATGCCTACATACGATATAATGCACTTATTTAAGTTGAATTATTGGGAATGTCGCGTGGTTTATAAATTGCAAGATTTCCTAACCTCGGTACTGTTTTTAAAGTTTAAAGTTTTAGCAATAAAGCAAGGTTGAGTGACTGAAATACTTCATTTTCACAAAATAATATAATATACAAAAACATGTATATCCAAAACAACTTTTTTCTGTTCAGTAAAACGAGTGAAACCTTTATCCAATAATATTTGACTATACAGTCAGTTTTTGTTTAATGCAGACGCATTGTTATCATTTATCCACGAAGAATTGTTAACTCTATAACTACCTAAAGTATATCAACAGTTTAAAGAACATTACCAATAACGACTGTCACTTCAAATGTTGAAAAGTATACTAACCTCATCAAACGTGTGATATACGTTATAAAAGTTATCGAGGGCGTCACTTCTTTCTAACCTAGACGCCGCCTGTTCGTCTATGATGCCCTGAACGTCATCTATCCAAACTTTTGCCTCCATGGCCATAGAAGACAGAGTTCTCATGAATACGTTGGCTTGGTTTTCACTGAGCATGACATCAACGTATTTACCCACAGTGGTAGGCTCTTGCCAGAAATCCAACTAGAGAAGTATAAAGTGGAATTCAAGAAAACAACAGGAAAATACATCTGACATAATCATATTAAAATAACATGAGGTGATTGGGACGTCGCTTCATCGTATACAATTCCATTTTTTTACCGTGATTCCTGTTTGGTATCGCAAGTCAATGCGCGGGGAGGTTTTCGCCGGTGTTCCATGTTATGGTTCAACTGTGTTCCATCTTTTGAACTCTTTTATTATGTGTATGTGTGATATATTAGTGAGCTTTACCTCTATTTCCACGCCCTTCTCTTGCACCGTTCTCAAGTAGCGCACCTCAAATTCGGTCTTGGGCAGGATGCGCAGTACTTTGTACCTGAAGAGTGACGTGAAATTAGGTTGGTGTACTGAAAATAGTTAAAGTGTGCATTGTAAATTGTCCATCTGTCTGTCTGTATGTGGCGATGCATGCAGTTTCCAAAAATCGAAGTGAAACGCTTACCCGTCATAGCGTGTTTCGGCGTTGGCGAGGGAAATGCCCAACACCACAATGAGAATTTTACACCACATATCTTCAGGAGAACTACTAATTGAAGTGAATCAACTAGTCAATTGGTTTTATTTATATTAAATAACAGTAATTCATTACACGTCAGTAGTTTGCATGAGAAACGCAACATCTGGTAACCATTGTAGAATTGTTGATATGTTATTATACGGCTTTGCCTTAATTTAAATGTGGCAAAAAAGCGCGTTCTACGGCAGATATTTTTCTACGATTATTGAAACAATATATACACGTTCCCAGAGTGTTACTATCGTTTTGTATTCATATAAATTTTAAAATAGTTGAAAAAAAAAATTCATTAAATATGAATGTTAGGTCAACAGTTTGAAACAGGGCATAAGACATATGGATGTGATATTAGACGCACGCGACGAAGATATGATTCAACCTACAAACCCCGCCTTAATTTACATATCAGCATCTATCTATCTAATATCGATAACATGTAATAACGATTTGTTCATTGCACGCATTGTTGAAATTGATAAGCAAGTTTGTGACATGCGGTGGTGAGACATTTGATGTAACGCGCGCAGATATAGGTCAGTGGCAGACCAGGGTCTTCTGGCTTTGTTTTGACTTTCCCTCACGGTTTCTAAACAGCTAGCCCGACCGCCTTGTAATAATTACGTAACATGAGCACATTGTTCGACACACGGTCTACCAATTACTACCCTTACATAGCGAAATACGGAATGTAGTTGCATATTGATGTTATTGTGAGCAAGACAATCGCCATTTTGTAACCGCATAATACAGTGTAGTTACTTTTCTGAAATATGCATTTTAAACAGTAATAATTCAGATAATGCATTTATCCACCATAATAATTTTTATTATAATTTTGCAAAATCATATACCTCTATATATGACTGATATTTACTGCAAAGTAAGGTACTTCACCCAGTGGGACAACCACACCCACACCAGTTGTCACAATATTCGTGATACAATATTCCCATATCTTTGTAATATATGTTATTATTATAACAAATTAGCTGAATAAAATACAAGATATTCTTTATTTTCCAGTAATGGAGTTTGAAATGTAATTAGTTTTTAATTATCAAGAGAAATTTACCCGATTTTAGAATAGTGAGTGTTAGCATGCTTGACAACACGTGGTTAAACATTGTGTTATTGGTAAGTGATCCACTGTAACACGAAGTCGGATTATATTGCAGAATAGAGTATGTGTTGAAATCCATAATTGACATAATGATACATTTTTAGAATAATTTAATAGGTATGAAACACAAATACACTCTCCATGAATTAGGCATATAGTTTTTTACATATTCACGCATATACATTTATATACAGATATGTCCAAAAGAAAACAAAATATAAATTTATCTTTTTATTCCAAAGCATGTTGATGCTCAGTGACCTTAATTTTTAAATTTTCTATTTTTTTTGTTTATGTGATTGCAATAGTCACAATGACCTTTTATAGATAACTTGCAACCGTATCTATAAAGTGGTAAAAACATGTGAAAAAAATAATGAATTATTTACAAATTAAACATTCATAAACTTGTTTTTAAAATGTATTTTTTAGATGACCCGATTTGTTTGCGTTAGAATGAGCAGTTGTTTATTTACTTAAAGCTCGGGAGTCCACACGTGCGCATGCGCCAGACGGTTATAGCTTGTTGATGTTTACAAATAATCGTCTACCCATCTGTTTTTAGCGTGCGTTGTTGTCGTTCTGTGGGACTAATTACTTATGCAAAAGAACATCGTAAAATAATAACAATTCTGTAGATGCCTATCTCTATACCCTAACATCTGATAAACAATAACGAATTCTGGGTACTGAAGTGGGCTTCTTCTAAAGGAAATGTCGCTATAAAGATTCATTAACCACTGACACGAATGCTAACACAATCAATAATTATTCAGAGAATATCACTTCATTGTTTAACATGCGAAACAAGTTGTAAGGAATACATTTTACCATTTACAAATATCCGGTAATTTCGCTTCACGATTTGCAAATGAACAAATAAAATATGATGATGCAACATTAGGTTGCCGCCATTAAGATAAGTATCAACCTACAAAATCAACCTGTAGTCACACAGGCATATATGCACATCATGATTTTTGTTTATTGCGTGCAATCGTCTCGTGGTTTTAATGATAAGCGTGTGTATACCACATATGGCGGTCCACGCGTAAGAAAAACAAAGGTTTGTTTTTTAGAAGATTATAACAGTCGTTATTGCGCAATATGTTCACAGTCGTTGGACTGTGGCTGAAGCGGGGAGGGGGGGGGCTAATGTTATAAAGATGGAAACATCTTGCTTTGTTCTTGTACTTGATTATTTGCATGAAATTCATTCATTACCTCTTTTTTGTCTTTATCACATTTTGCCGACCCTTCTTATAATATTACATGTAAATATCAATATCTTTTGTGACATCAGTAAATTGTTATTGAAATAATGAACATAAGCATCAGAAGCTGGACTATAATACAACTTGCTATTTCACATTTCGACCACATACCAGCAAAACGCTTACACACGATAAACAATGCATACGCATGCTTCTGGATTTGAAGTTAGTGACCAAGACTAGATTAATCGAAGTTTAGATTAATAATAAGTCCTTTTCCCGGGAGTTCCCTGTTTTGCCCGTAAGAAACAATGTTGTAGATGAAACCATTCCACCACAAAACAATGTCATATTGTCCGAGTTCACTGCACGTTGCCCCCCTGTAATTTGAGCTGTATTTTCATAGTTTGGTGTAACGTGGTGCGCGTCTCCTTACAGTGGCAAGGCCTACTCGTCGTGGTTGGTAATTTGAATTCGTCTTTGTTCTTGTTCGTAATGTAATGCCTGTAATTATATATAAAGATGTCTATAACATGACCTCCAGTCACCGCCTAATGACGTCATTCTGTAATGCATGGCGTCGATGTAATTGTCAGTTCCACGGGCTCAGTTATCAATACACCAATTAGTTGAATGGGGAAGATGAATTATTATAAGTTATTGATTAAGAAAATATGTTGCTACCTAATCGATCGATACTCCCGCCACTGTCTCTACGTGAATACTTAGTAATAACCTTGTATGTGTAGAAGTCAAACACAAAAATTGTGAATAATAAATTGCGCAAATATCAACAAAAATGTCATTACAGTGCACAATAGGCTTGTGGGAATTCAATTTATAGTAATTCGAACAATTAAGTGAGAAACGTGATAATATAATGGTGTTTTATTTAATTTAGCATGGAACCTATGAGATCTGTAGTCCAACAAATGTATGTATGTATGCAGTGAAATACATTTGTGTCTCAACAGATTTAACATCAAAAGTGTTTCGTTCTCTTACGGTTGATACAATGTGTTAGAAATAGGTGATTTTCCGAACAATTGCGAGATCTCGCGAGATGCATGGAAGACGCGCGTCGAACGTCTGCCGCAAAAATCGAACGACTTGATTTTGAACTAGAATTTCTTTATTTCGCAGCTTACATTGACCGGCCGATCTTCGACAGAGAAATATTGCTTCCGAATACCCTTACTTAATCGAAATTGCCTATCATCAAATGTGGACAGCACATTATTAAGCATGGAAATGTCCCCGAAATACTTTCGCGTTTGTCGAATCCCACGCGATGTTTGACGCGACTACGACGCTATGACCTTTGTTTGTCCTGTTTTTACGTTCGATTTCACGCATAACGCGTGATTCTCGCAGTGTACGGAAAATGGTCTATTGCAATAACGCTATGCAAGTCATATTAACGCTATGTGTTACAGGTTGACTGAAACCACAAACTGGCATTAAAATGACAAGAATTCCAAACAACTTTTTGAAAACTTGAAAGTAAGATCTCTTTCTAGTATTTCTGCTATCAAAAACTTTTGACTTTTTCCAGAATTTATACTACCATCACATGGCAAATTAAAATTACGCTTAAAAAATATTGAGGCAGAATGTCTTCAGACAATTGTAAAAAATATATAAATGTGACAAAAAAATCATTCAATTTCACCGTCATTAGATTACTTTCTGACAACAATCCTTCCATCAATAATTATCGTTCTATGATATAACCACCTGAACTTAATACTAGCAGACTGGCGACTGATATAGTCCCGCCGTTCCTAATTTGTAATAAGATAACGAGAAAATTGAAGTTATCAAAATTAAATGAATTAACCTAAAGAGAAATAAATCAAATTGATTTACATATAAATTATCGAAGTAACTGGGCTAGCCATTTTAAAAAAGAAGTTGAGAGAGCATGTGTTACCATAATTTTTAATAAGAACGTCATATATCTACATATCAAACATGCAGGAACACCAATTTGAGTGTTTGTATATCACTATACTGAAACAATAAGTACACTGTAACCTCTTTATATTGGACACATTGCATGTCTCGCACTCAATGTATTATGGGCTTCGTTATACTGAACCCTTCCCAAACTATTTGTACGTCAACCAAATAGTTATAATAAAGAGGTAACTGTGGAAAATAACTGAAATAGGACGTAATTTTTTTATCCGTAAATAGATTGTGTAAATTTAGCCAGGTGACGACGCAGGATTTAGATAACATTGCAGGTTTGTTTCATGTCGTATATGTAATCGTAGGTCTGCTTGTCACGAACACGTTGCATTATTTGCACAATAATTAATTGACTGTCTAAAAGATCCTATTGGTTGTAGGTTTGCAAATGATAATATATTTATACATTAGCACGATTGGTGTGGGCCATTGCTTTACGTTTTTTGAGCGGACTCGTACTTCACCACGATGAAATTCGCCGCTGTGCTTCTTCTGGTTGCCTATGCAGCTGCATACGTGCGTTACGATGGGTAAGAAAACGTATTATAACTTATGCCATACGATTAATCCCTTATTATATAGACTTTCCTTCATTGAATATAGATTTACTTGAATAGAAGGTGTTGACAACTTAATCGCCGTCATTTGCCGCTAAAATGTTGGTGCTACCTTAAGACAATTTCTATGTATTTTCCTATGAATATTGTTGCTGATTGACATAACGTTCTATTGGTTACATGCGTTGATCACCGAATTGAAAAAAAAAATGTGAAAAAAAAAAATAGCGTGGGTTTTATTTTGTGAACGATTACAGTTGACTTTAGGGTTAAATGCGCATATCTTTCTTATATTTGACTGATCTACAGATACCAAGTTATTCGAGTGATTCCAAAGAATGTGAATGAACTTGAACTTCTTATGCAAATTCACAATGACAACTTGGATAAGGTGAGTAAATGTATCTGGTGTTGCCTATTACCATGTTTGCGATATGTCACAAATTTTGGCTTTCAATGTTACACCGCCAGTTGGCAAATGTATAACGTATATAATCAAACGTTTTTATGAAAATTAATGTTTTGTGATGGTGTTGAGAAGCGATATGAAACGATATAACATAGAACCAGAAATTGATTGCACACTAAACTGAAATTACAGTACAATATGTCATGTGTATCAGGTGATGAGCATATTTTAACCCCCGACCCCAAATATTTAGCATTTATATGACTGTACACACGTATAAATTACTATGACCAAAAATGATATCAGGCAACTAGATCCAACTAGATGTAGCCATTTTGTATTACGTCATGTGACCAAACCATTTTCATCATAGGGGTTTCAGGTACTATCACTTGAATGCATTTTGAAAAATATCCTATAAGCATAACACAAACGCTATTTTGGGGAATTCACTTACCAAATATTAAAATCAGAATGAAAAACACACCCACAATTCAAAAATCACAAATTAGTTACTTACTACTCCCGATTTTGTTTTGTTTTTTGAAAACCGAAATCGTCATCTAGCTCTGGAGCAAATCAGCGACGGCCTTACAGTTAGATGACGATTTCAGTTTCATATACCCCGGAAAAGAGTTGTGTGTTCTTCATGTACTAGTAATTAGGTGTTCTTATGCAAGGGATTTCCACACAACACGACGAATTCTGCCGATTTTTGTTAGCGGTTGGACTAATGTTGCCCAAACGAATTGTTTGGCTGTGAAAGTTTGGTATGTTTTACCTGATTTATGATAATCTCAAAAAAACGTTTCTCAACTTTAATTAGTTTCAAGCCGTATCCAGGGTGGCTGCCTTAAAATAGTAAGTGTCGGTAGATTGATTAGATGTATCACATGTACACTAGCTGACCGTGATTACAAGCGTTTATTTTATCCAATCATGTACTGCGTTTCAGAAGGTATTATCACGTTAAACTTACCACACTTTGTCAATAGAGGGCGCTTGTCCAAAAAAACGTACAAGTCTCATACAATGTACATGTACAAGGTTTTTTCTTCAATGAAAACATATACACAGCAGCCTTGTTTTAACGAACAGCTTTATAATGAACTTTCTGATATAAAACACAATGCATGTATCCCATTCATAACAAACCCAATATATTTCAATCTGCTCTCATTATAGTGAACAATTCACAGTATTTTACAAACTATTTGTAAGACCCCTCCCGAAAGTGTTCGTTATAATGAGGTTACACCGTATAATAAGATATGTATCTTTCTCGCCAGACACAATGTAGAACACATCGTTATGTGTAAATATATTTATGCAAAATATGATATGTTTTCAATAAATAGCTAAGCTTTTGGAAGGAACCAAGAATGGTCGGACGATTTGTGGACATCATGACAACGCCTGACTTTGCCGATGATCTCAAGAGCTTGATTCTTATGAATGGAATGGAGTTCACCATAAACGTTGAAAACATACAGGATCAGATCGATCAAGAACGAGAGGCAATGAGTTCAAGACCTGGGATCGACGTGGAAGGGTTCAATTACGAAATTTACCACACATATGACGAGGTGAGTGTGTGGTATTCCTAAATAAGTTTACTTAATTTGCTGCGTTGACGCATTATCAGCTTTATGGCGGGGGAGTCGTCACCAGTTCATGCGTCAGGTGACCATAGCGTGTCATTGTTTACAAACAAGCGCTAGCACTACCCATGAGCCTTTGCGTTTTTTAGCGTGTGTTGTTATCGTCGCTTGGGAACTCAACTCCCAGGCGTGCGCACGTGACGACACTCCCGCTTTAAGGTGATTTTCTGTTTGACCGACGCATCAGTTTTTGAGTCATGTCATATACGTATACCAACATATTGGTTTGCATCATCACTGATTTTATTTCTCTTGCCCACAGATTAATCAATGGGTGGACGAATTCGTTGCCACTTACCCAACCATATCATCTGTCTTCACTATAGGTAGTTCTTACGAGGGCCGCCCACTGCGTGGAGTCAAGGTATAGAAAGTAACTTCAGTATTGAATAAAGAAAGTTCAAGTTGTCATTATGTTTCTTATGTTTTACGACTGTCAACATATTAGTATTTCACAAACTTATTCTTTTTACTATATTTATTTTAAGTTCTGTTTTTACCATATATCTAATTGTTTTTGTCTCTGTGTCTTTTTTTTCCCATGACTCCCTTGATTGTACACGTTTAGATCGGGACATCGACAGCAACTGTGTCATCTTTGTTTCTAGAAGGTGGGATCCACGCTCGCGAGTGGATATCGCCGGCTACCATGCTGTACATGACTCAACTGGTTAGTATGTGTATTCCTCTCACAGTGGCTTCAATTAAAACATAGAATTTCCAGGTGCAGGAGTCTTTTTTTCTAGACAGGCATACACATTTCGAGCATTTACAATGCCTGCTATTTTCTGACACAAAATCATTTATTGGTACATCAATATTGTTATTTATCATGTTATTTAAACACAAAATATTGATAGCCTACTTATTAGGCAGATCAAATTGCAAGAAAAAATCACAGAAGTCAACACCAATCACAAAACAAGCGTAATTAAGAACAATTGCGTGCGAGTGCTGGGTGATTTTCTGGTTGACCGACGCATCAGTTTTTGAGTCATGTCATTGCTACCTCTTACATAACACGAACTATATTGTCTCCACAAGACGTTATTCAGAATCTCAAAACATTTGAAATACTTACCCGACGCTCCTCTTTCTTTGAAAGCCGACGCGGTGGGCTGTTCCGGAATCTGGTTCTTTAAAAAGTGTGTCAGGTTTAAATTTTCGGCACCTGTCTTTATATCCAAGTTGTTCTTTTATAAATGATGAAAGTTGTTCCGCATAGGAATCTATGGTATGACGGTATAAGGAGAATGTCCATCCCAAATTTGTTCTATTCCGCCAAAAACACAACGTTTCAAAACAAACGCCGACAGAAAAATATATATATATATCGTTAATATCATCGCTAAATTGCGCCGTATCATAAAAGTATAGCATATAAATATTTTGGCGTTTGGCGGCGCACTTCTACTTCGGTTAGAGTCGGAAAGCCGGAAAAAGTCGACTGTTTCAGGATAGATGCGCGTGGCTACAACACGAGAAATATTTCAAATTTACTCGAATTCGAGTAATCATTTTCAAATAAAAAAAAAACAATAACGGTCTATTTCAGTGGAACACAAATCCAAAACGGGAAATGTGTGGTTGTGCATTTCACAGGCACTTTACTATAGTCTAAACATTATCGTTATTGTTTCGCAACAAGCTATAGAAATGAAATGAAAATTTTGTGCTTGATTTTATTATTTGACAGTTTGCCGATGGTTATGGTGTCGATCAAAAAACTACTGAACTAGTGGACAAATTGAACTGGTATATGTTGCCTGTGTTGAATGCAGATGGATATGCACATACCCACGATGTCAATGGTGTAAGTCAATACGACCCCGTGGGGGTGGGGGTGTGGGCTGCGGGTGTTGTGTTCTGTTGAGTAAATGTATTAATTGTAACACATTTAATTAAATAGGGTACACATTCAATAATGAAACTGAACATAGCTCAATTGAGTATACATCTCCGTCGATCAAGCTTATATATATTATATATATATATATCAGTAA